ACCATTTCTTTCCCGACAATTCTAAGCAACTTCGTTCTTTATAAATTTCTCTTGTATTAAGTTTTCCAAAACCACATTTTATATATGTAATATTTTCCCAGTTGTCAGCAGAAGATCCTATTCAATCTCCGTAATGATATCAGTAAGCCGCCTCAGACCTCACACACTTTTTCGAGTGACCTTACGATGAAACCAGATAAACAAAACTATGACACTGTTTGATGTAAAATCTGCAAAAGAAATTATTTCTGACCATCTTTGAGTTCCAGATGAGGGTGCAAAACACGTTGATCATTTTTTGAAATGCCTAAAGTTATGTTAGGGCCATTAAATATGTCCACCCATAAATCTCCAAGAAATGTTTTGGGTCTTTTAAAATGAACTGGTATGAAACCTTTTTGCAAAACGGGAACCATCATTTCTTTCCCGACAATTCTAAGCAACTTCGTTTTTTATAACTTTCTCTTGTATTAATTTTCCAAAACCACATTTTATATAATAATACTTTCCCCGTTGTCAGCAGAAGATCGCATTCGATCTCTGTAATGATATCAGACAGCCGCTTCAGACCTCACACAGTTTTTCGAGTGACCTTACGATAAAACCAGATAAACAAAACTATGACACTGTTTGATGTAAAATCTGCAAAATAAATTATTTCGGACCATCTTTGAGTTCCAGATGAGGGTGCAAAAACATGTTGAACAATTTTTGAAATGCCTAAAGTTATGTTAAGGCCATAAAATAGGTTCACCCATAATTCTTCAAGAAATGTTTCGGGTCTTTTAAAATGAAGTGGTATGAAACCTTTTTGCAAAATGAGAACCACCATTTCTTTCCCGACAATTCTAAGCAACTTCGTTCTTTATAAATTTCTCTTGTATTTAATTTTCCAAAACCACATTTTATAAATATAATATTTTCCCAGTTGTCAGCAGAAGATCCTATTCAATCTCCGTAATGATATCAGTAAGCCGCCTCAGACCTCACACAGTTTTTCGAGAGACCTTACGATGAAACCAGATAAACAAAACCAGGACACTGTTTGATGTAAAATCTGCAAAATAAATTATTTCGGACCATCTTTGAGTTCCAGATGAGGGTGCAAAAACATGTTGAACAATTTTTGAAATGCCTAAAGTTATGTTAAGGCCATAAAATAGGTTCACCCATAATTCTTCAAGAAATGTTTCGGGTCTTTTAAAATGAAGTGGTATGAAACCTTTTTGCAAAATGAGAACCACCATTTCTTTCCCGACAATTCTAAGCAACTTCGTTTTTTATAAATTTCTCTTGTATTAAATTTTCCAAAACCACATTTTATAAATATAATATTTTCCCAGTTGTCAGCAGAAGATCCTATTCAATCTCCGTAATGATATCAGTAAGCCGCCTCAGACCTCACACAGTTTTTCGAGTGACCTTACGATGAAACCAGATAAACAAAACCAGGACACTGTTTGATGTAAAATCTGCAAAATAAATTATTTCGGACCATCTTTGAGTTCCAGATGAGGGTGCAAAAACATGTTGAACAATTTTTGAAATGCCTAAAGTTATGTTAAGGCCATAAAATAGGTTCACCCATAATTCTTCAAGAAATGTTTCGGGTCTTTTAAAATGAAGTGGTATGAAACCTTTTTGCATAATGAGAACCACCATTTCTTTCCCGACAATTCTAAGCAACTTCGTTCTTTATAAATTTCTCTTGTATTTAATTTTCCAAAACCACAATTTATTTATATATAAAACTTTCCCAGTTGTCAGCAGAAGATCATATTCGATCTTTGTAATGATATCAGAAAGCCGCTTCAGACCTTACACAGTTTTTCGAGTGAACTTACGATGAAACCAGATAAACAAAACTATGACACTGTTTGATGTAAAATCGGCAAAATAAATCATTTCGGACCATCTTTGAGTTCCAGATGAGGGTGCAAAAACATGTTGAACAATTTTTGAAATGCCTAAAGTTATGTTAAGGCCATAAAATAGGTTCACCCATAATTCTTCAAGAAATGTTTCGTGTCTTTTAAAATGAAGTGGTATGAAACCTTTTTGCAAAATGAGAACCACCATTTCTTTCCCGACAATTCTAAGCAACTTCGTTCTTTATAAATTTCTCTTGTATTAAATTTTCCAAAACCACTTTTTATAAATATAACATTTCCCAGTTGTCAGCAGAAGATCCTATTCAATCTCCGTAATGATATCAGTAAGCCGCCTCAGACCTCACACAGTTTTTCGAGTGACCTTACGATGAAACCAGATAAACAAAACCAGGACACTGTTTGATGTAAAATCTGCAAAATAAATTATTTCGGACCATCTTTGAGTTCCAGATGAGGGTGCAAAAACATGTTGAACAATTTTTGAAATGCCTAAAGTTATGTTAAGGCCATAAAATAGGTTCACCCATAATTCTTCAAGAAATGTTTCGGGTCTTTTAAAATGAAGTGGTATGAAACCTTTTTGCAAAATGAGAACCACCATTTCTTTCCCGACAATTCTAAGCAACTTCGTTCTTTATAAATTTCTCTTGTATTTAATTTTCCAATACCACAATTTATTTATATATAAAAATTTCCCAGTTGTCAGCAGAAGATCATATTTGATCTTTGTAATGATATCAGAAAGCCGCTTCAGACCTTACACAGTTTTTCGAGTGAACTTACGATGAAACCAGATAAACAAAACTATGACACTGTTTGATGTAAAATCGGCAAAATAAATCATTTCGGACCATCTTTGAGTTCCAGATGAGGGTGCAAAAACATGTTGAACAATTTTTGAAATGCCTAAAGTTATGTTAAGGCCATAAAATAGGTTCACCCATAATTCTTCAAGAAATGTTTCGGGTCTTTTAAAATGAAGTGGTATGAAACCTTTTTGCAAAATGAGAACCACCATTTCTTTCCCGACAATTCTAAGCAACTTCGTTCTTTATAAATTTCTCTTGTATTAAATTTTCCAAAACCACATTTTATATATATAATATTTTCCCAGTTGTCAGCAGAAGATCCTATTCAATCTCCGTAATGATATCAGTAAGCCGCCTCAGACCTCACACAGTTTTTCGAGTGACCTTACGATGAAACCAGATAAACAAAACTATGACACTGTTTGATGTAAAATCTGCAAAAGAAATTATTTCTGACCATCTTTGAGTTCCAGATGAGGGTGCAAAACACGTTGATCAATTTTTGAAATGCCTAAAGTTATGTTAGGGCCATTAAATATGTCCACCCATAAATCTCCAAGAAATGTTTTGGGTCTTTTAAAATGAACTGGTATGAAACCTTTTTGCAAAACGTGAACCACCATTTCTTTACCCGACAACTCTAAGCAACTTCGTTTTTTATTAATTTCTCTTGTATTAGTTTTCCAAAACCACATTATATATATATAATACTTTTCCAGTTGTCAGCAGAAGATCGCATTAGATCTCTGTAATGATATCAGAGAGCCGCCTCAGACCTCACACAGTTTTTCGACTGACCTTACGATAAAACCAGATAAACAAAACTATGACACTGTTTGATGTAAAATCTGCAAAAGAAAGCTATTTTGGACCATCTTTGAGTTCCAGATGAGGTTGCAAAAACACGTTGAACAATTTTTGAAATGCCTAAAGTTATGTTAAGGCCATAAAATAGGTTCACCCATAATTCTTCAAGAAATGTTTCGGGTCTTTTAAAATGAAGTGGTTTGAAACCTTTTTGCAAAATGAGAACCACCATTTCTTTCCCGACAATTCTAAGCAACTTCGTTCTTTATAAATTTCTCTTGTATTAAATTTTCCAAAACCACATTTTATATATATATATAATATTTTCCCAGTTTTCAGCAGAAGATCCTATTCAATCTCCGTAATGATATCAGTAAGCCGCCTCAGACCTCACACAGTTTTTCGAGTGACCTTACGATGAAACCAGATAAACAAAACTATGACACTGTTTGATGTAAAATCTGCAAAAGAAATTATTTCTGACCATCTTTGAGTTCCAGATGAGGGTGCAAAACACGTTGATCAATTTTTGAAATGCCTAAAGTTATGTTAGGGCCATTAAATATGTCCACCCATAAATCTCCAAGAAATGTTTTGGGTCTTTTAAAATGAACTGGTATGAAACCTTTTTGCAAAACGTGAACCACCATTTCTTTACCCGACAACTCTAAGCAACTTCGTTTTTTATTAATTTCTCTTGTATTAGTTTTCCAAAACCACATTATATATATATAATACTTTTCCAGTTGTCAGCAGAAGATCGCATTAGATCTCTGTAATGATATCAGATAGCCGCCTCAGACCTCACACAGTTTTTCGACTGACCTTACGATAAAACCAGATAAACAAAACTATGACACTGTTTGATGTAAAATCTGCAAAAGAAAGCTATTTTGGACCATCTTTGAGTTCCAGATGAGGTTGCAAAAACACGTTGAACAATTTTTGAAATGCCTAAAGTTATGTTAAGGCCATAAAATAGGTTCACCCATAATTCTCCAAGAAATGTTTTGGGTCTTTTAAAATGAAGTGGTATGAAACCTTTTTGCAAAACGGGAACCACCATTTCTTTCCCCGACAATTCTAAGCAACTTCGTTTTTTATAACTTTCTCTTGTATTAATTTTCCAAAACCACATTTTATATAATAATACTTTCCCCGTTGTCAGCAGAAGATCGCATTCGATCTCTGTAATGATATCAGACAGCCGCTTCAGACCTCACACAGTTTTTCGAGTGATCTTACGATGAAATCAGATAAAAAAAACTATGACACTGTTTGATGTAAAATCTGCAAAAAATAGTTATTTCGGACCATTTTTGAGCTCCAGATGAGGGTGCAAAAACACATTGAACAATTTTTGAAATGCCCAAAGTTATGTTAAGGCCATAAAACAGATTCACCCATAATTCTACAAGAACTGTTTTGGGTCTTTTAAAATGAAGTGGTATGAAACCTTTTTGCAAAACGAGAACCACCATTTCATTCCCCGACAATTCTAAGCAACTTCTTTTTTTTATAACTTTCTCTTGTATTAATTTTCCAAGACCACATTTTATAGATATAATACTTTCCCAGTTGTCAGCAGAAGATTGCATTTGATCTCTGTAATGATATCAGAAAGCCGCTTCGGATCTCACACAGTTTTTCGAGTGACCTTACGATGAAACCAGATAAACAAAACTATGACACTGGTTCAAGTATTGTCAAAGTTCTCTACATACTGACATGCCTGAATGCTTGATTGTCTACTTCCCTGGTCTCGATTGAATTTCGGAATGATTCGACCATCTCGACCAAATAGGTTTGTTTTGACAGTGCTCGACCAAAAAAGTTTCGCCCGACCGGGCTCGACCTTCAGAGACGCAAGTGAAATGTAAAAATTGATTTCCAATTATTTTTAGCTACCCAAACTTCAATCTCATAATTTGTGCTTTTTTAGATAACATCTCAGAATGTTTTTTATCAGAATAAAACTATTTGGTTAGTTGCGACTTGGTGTTATGTAGAAATGCACTATTTTTGAACTTATTCTGTTTTTTTTTCCAATGGCGTTCAACCAGGTTTCCCATTTCCCAAACCCCTATTTCGACTGACATGTGCTGAATTTTGGAAGTCGAAACAAAGTGAACCGGTTTACTGGCTGAACACCTTCTTGGTTGGAATTCCAGAACATTTTTTGATTATTGTATTTAAAACTTTTATTATATCGCTGAACAAGAGATCTTGATGAGTTGCAATAAAAGATGTTTTCTCTTTGGTAAATAAATTATGTTAGGTTTATGTTTGATAATTTGGGGTCAAAAAGTTAGGTTACAATTTCCGAGATGTTTTTTTTTCAATTCGCTGAAGAAGGTAATATGATTTTTGGCTGAAAAGTAGGCGAAACGAATATATAAACGGATTAAACGGTAATATATAAAACGGTATTTAATTTTGCTAAGCTAATTTTCCTTTTAGTAAAATTAAGTTTGTTACCCTAAATGGCCTATTTTATATAAAGATTGTTATTAGGTTGCTTAGACAAAACAAAAAAAAACGGTTTTTCTCGATACTGGAACATTTTTGCAAATTTCTAAGGTCGTTCGAATCACGACTGAATTGGTTTTGAAATGATATGTCACTCGTTTTTTCCTGATGAGTGTTTGTGGTACCTGATTTTGCTCGATAAAAAAAACTAAAACACACCCGAATACAAAACTCCTTTTCATTTTCAATAGTTGAAACAACATGATTGCGCTAAGTGAGCCGATAAAAATCCAAAAAAAAATCTGAACAACAAAATCTGAACTACAATCATAACCTGACATTTTAAAAAAATTCTCTAAACTCGATGCCAGTACTCAACGTCAAGTTCACTGAACTAAGATTGTCTATTGCAATGTTTTCTTAGAAAATAAAATGTTTTTTTTTTGTACGAACTAATTTTCAGAGACAAATAAGGAAATTAAATTGATGAGGTTGGCTGAAGGAATTGTCAAAAGAAGTGCATGAGTTTTGCTAGCTGGCCAGAACCGTTTTCACATTCTGTTCACGTAGATAGCCTTTCCCATTTTGGCCAATTCCTGTTTATAGACTTCTATTTCATCTTCTAGAAACTTCTTCAACATGTGTTGACGCACCTGGTAAGAAAAAATAACAAACTATACCACTAAACTCATTTCAATAAAATATAAAGTTTATCTTTAATGAGCTCTTGTGCATTGACAAAGAAGATGAGTCTCTTATCAATATAACTCCAATTTTATTTTGAATGTAAACACTTCTGGGCTGAAGTACGCAGAAGCGATTGAAAAATGGCAATCAAAGAGCTGAAGTTGGGGTAATAAGAGATCTCTGAAACTGTAACTATCCACACCACTCGCTTTTGCAAAAGGGGGAGATTTGTTACTAGGTAAAAATTCACTTTTCCATGGCTTTACCATTGAATAATTTCTTTATTGGGGTGGCAATTCGTTACTAGGTACCCTAGGGGGGGATTAGTTTAAGAGATTGCTGGAAAGATGTGGTTGTGTTTTAATGTGACCTGGATGAGTGCTCGTTTGGCCAGGTGGAACTCCTCCTTGACCTTCAGCCTGTCAATCATCGCCTTCTTCTCCATCGCCAGTCCGTCCAGTTGTTCCATCCACGCACTTCTCAACTGCTGTCTCTCGTAACTACACACACACACACAAACTCAAAGTCAACAAGAACAACAACCTACACAAGAAAATGTGTTGTGATCTGAATTTAGATCAATTCTGGGGCGGAATTAAGGGGGTCGACCCCCTCACCAACTAAAGGTTCCCCCCTTTGGTATTATTTTAAGAAATCCATTTTCGACCGACGAACTCTTAAATTTTTCTTAAGATGCCTTTGGCGCCAATTTGTACTAATTTTGAGTGTGTAGCTACAAAAAGTGCCTTAAAACGGGATTTTTCTTCAAATATTTGCAATTTGTTTCAATTGGGTCAATCTAAGAAACAGAAATCAATTGGGCATCCACCTCATCCTTTGGTGCCAAAAAAAAGTATTTACATTTTAGAAATTTTTTGAATATGGGTTGAATAACAAAATGTTAGCAGTTATTGCAAAAGTAATAAAAGCTTACCAGAAAATCAGTTTATTGTAGTCTTCTCTTTTAACTTTGTAATTAGACTATATAAGAGTAGACAACCACGACAATAAATTCTGGGAAAAGGAGATTTTAATTAAAGGGTTTTTATAATGGCCTAGCCACTGAAAAAATGTCAAAAAACTGTTCGCAATAACTCAAATAACACAATCGCTGTCTCTGGTTATCCACTGCCTGAGAAGACAAACCGAAGCAGTTTTTTTATTGATGTAATAAAAATAGTAGTTTTTAAAAAAGAACGATTTTTTTTCAGCAAAAGCAGGACAGGATGCTATGTGAGATCCGGTTGAGTGATTATACCATTTGGCTTCAGTTCAATTTATTTCACATTTATCTACTGTCAGGTGCTCTTTTTACCAGAGAATTATCTCATTTTGTGATCATTTATTTAACACATCGTCTTTTACTCAAAAGTAAAAGTATCTTGGGAAAAACTAGTCTGCAGATAAATGAGTTACAACAGTGTTTCGCTTTTTACTAAACTTCTACCCAATACTTTAGTATAAAATGTTTGTTGCCCGTTGAAAACAGGCAAAATCAATTATTTGATTTTACATAGAAACTATGATTTTTTAAATAGAAACTATAACTTTGACTTACAGTTTGTTTTCATACTCTCTCGCCGCAATCTCTTCGTCATTCTGAAACAAAATAATTTCGAATTATTCGAATAGCATTTTTTTTCTACACGGCTTCCCCTGGAATTTTGAGCCAGCTTGCAGCTAACTTAGAGATGGAAAAGAATGGCGAAAAACGCGAGAAGCACAGAGCCACTCACCGATCACGAAAAGTTTTGACCCTCCTAATTGACCTTGAAAAATTGTATATACTGCACTGATAAAAATGGATTAAAATCAATTTTAGCATAAAAAAGTATGTTGATTAAATTGAGATGAATTTTAGCCTGAAAAAAATTATTGAGATTAAATTGAGATCGATTTTAGTATACGAAAAGTATTTATATTAAATGGAAAAAATTATGACTGATTTGGATCAAATCAAAATCAATTTCATCAAATCAAAATCAATTTCAATTTCAAAATCAATTTCATTCAAATCAAAATCAATTGCCTTATATCAATTTTTTTGAATTGTTTGATTTCATCAGTTTTGAGTTTGCTTTGCATTTATTTTTTGTCAATCATTTTTAATTTTCCATCCAAAGCGTTCGGTAGCATAATAAAAAAACCAAATGATCTCAAAATTAATTTTTTTCCAGTTTAGAATGATTTAGGTTGCCATCTGATTTATAACGACCATTTTCCAGATTTTCTATTTAGGAATTCGATCACAACCTGGCTTGCATAGATTATTTTCTATGGATTATTAGAAAATTTTAAGCCCAAACTTTGATTTTCTTGTTTTTTCATTGACTCCTGCTCAAAATCTTGTTTTTATTGACAATTTTCTACAATTTAATTGCTTGTTTTTAAGATCAAAACCCGATTTATAACGACCAGTTTCTTGATTTGTTACATGAATTTTAGCTTCAGTCGATTTGAAATGGAATTTTGGAGATTAAAACTTATCTGCTCATGGGTCTTTTAAAATGGATTCAAATGGATTTTGACAAACTTCGGATAAATTTTATTGAACAGGGGAATCCATTCCAGTCGATTTAAATCGACCTTTCAGACAATTACATCAATTTAAAAATTTTAATAAAGATCATTTTGAATCGATTTGAAATCTCATCCAGTTCCTAAAACTAACATGAATTATCGATTTAAAATAAATACAAATGAATCCAAAACTAGTTTTGTTAGCGCGTGTATATATAATCTTAGAAACTTTGAAAAGAACGCACAAAAAAGCGCAAAAAAAAAGAAAAACGTTTAGATCAAAAAGTGCTCAAAAACGACACATTTGGCACAAGTTGTTGAACTTTTGCCGGCGGTATAGAATTTTGTGGACAAGATTGGACGGCATTTTGAAAAATCAATTTCCTGTCTGATATGTTTGCAAATTTTCTTACCGTAGATTATATGCAGTTCAATTTAGCGAAATATTTTTTTAGCTTACAAGATTGTTTGCGGACTAAATTAAGTAACATTTGTGTAACCCACTAGTGTTTCTAAATTATTCAGTAGATCGTCTTTCATGTTGAACAAAGTTTTAAAACGCAGTTTTGCGGAAGAAGATGAAAGATTAAAAATTTGGTGTTTAAGGTTTTTTTGTTTTCACACAGAAGAAAAAGTTTTTCAAACTTTAATGCATATACCAATACTTTAACATAAGTACGTTTTTTAATTTGGCCACCACGACAAACCTTAGCTCAGTACGAGACTGCCCAGGAGTATGAGTACCAAAAACAAAAAGTGTTCGAATAACCTGAAAATAGGCTCTTTTCGATCTTCCCATCCCTCTCGTAAAATTACAACTAAAGCTGTTCAGAAATTGTTCACACGGCATTTTGCAAGCAAGAAATGTAAAAAATGCTCGCGCTGACTCGTTTTGGCTCTTTTTTTCCCTCTCACCTCGCATCAGTATTAATTTTATGGTGTATGAGGTTTTTTACAATGTTATTTATCAAGGCCAAATATGTTTGTCATGGCCTCATTAAGTAGCATGTCAATTTTTATAACAATTGGTCGGTGGGAACATAAATTTACTTAAAATTTGCAGGTGGGGGGAAGGAAAATTTGCAGGTGGGGGGAAGGAAAAAGAGCCCACATTTTGATGCAGTTTCTGAGAAGAAAAGTAATTTCAAATAGACTTCCATCAATTGAGTTTCAGAAAATATTAAACTTGAAAAAAGCCGAAAAAAAATTTCAAAAGTTTTACGAGGTCTAAAAACTAATTGAAGCTACTCAATTGAAATCACTAGCAACAGAAAGCAAAAACTCAGTAAATCTACTAGCATCAGTCAGAACAAATAGTTTACTCCCCTAATTTGGCGTCGTCTATTGTTACAAGTAAACAAATACTACAGCCATTAACAAAAAAACTTCAAATTCAGTGCACCAAATCACGAAAAAAAATGTTAAACTGTTCGTAACACGGCAACCAAAACAGTTTTCCAATTTTCACACTCTTGTACTTTGGAACGTCTCTCGTCGCAATATATAAATTGTTTTATTGTTTTATTGCATCATTACAATGTTAAAAAAATTTTCAAAATCGAAATTAAAAGGTGGGGAGGGGGAGGCTATTGACTATATTGAATTAAAGTTGGGTTGGCTGAGTTCTGCATACAAGCAATTTTGACCTCCCTCTTAACTCAAAAATCGGAGAAATGATGCAGGTCGAATAAATTTTTTGCAACTATGCCTGGCAATTTTCCTTTTACCCCACCTGCAAAATTTTACTTGTTAAATTTTTTTCACATTCGAATGTTACGAAAATTGGCATGCGAACTAATTACGCAGTGACAAACTTTTTTGGCTTTAATGTGTAATTTTGTAAAACCTCTCGTTACACCATGAAATTGATGTTTATAATTAATGTGGTTTCTGCTAATCGCGGAGATGCAATCAGTAACCGTAGCATTCCTGTCGAAGTATAACCCATTTGTATTATAACCCAACATTCCAGACTGTTTTGTTACGCTAGTTTTTTTTGCAACTCAAAGCCGTTTTTTCGGTCTAGAACTTTCACGTGGTACCACTATTTCAGTCGAAAATCCAGCCGAAGCTCGTCCTCACACACTCAGTCAACATAAAATGCCGAATTTGTTACCACTCTAAATCCAGCCGAAGCTCGTCCTCACACACTCAGTCAACATAAAATGCCGAATTTGTTACCAGCTAAATGACATTCTTTTGGTCGCTTAAATGAGTTCTGAAACTGAGTCTAGTCTCATTTTACCAACTGAAAACGATGCATTGGAAAGAAACTCCGAGACTTCTGAGCTGAGCAAAACAAAAACAGAAAAAAAAAGAGTAGAAATCACGTTGAGAACTTGTAGAAAAAAATCAGATTGAATAAACTTAAGGATTTCACTAGATTGATGGGTTTGAAAAACAAAACTTTGATGACGATAAGGAATTATGTCGATGAGAACTTTTCAGAAGCTAACATCTGTAGCTGGCTTATTGTATGAGATTGCAATGGCCGCAGAAACTCGAAAATTGTTTTGAAAACTCACCTGGAGCAATCCCATCAGTAGTAGCTGTAAGTTCCAACCAACAACAACAACAGCAACAAAATCAACAACAACAACAACAACAACAACAACAACAACAACAACAACAACAACAACAACAACAACAACATTAATAACAACAGCATCAACAACAACAACAACAACAACAACGAAATCAACAACAACAACAAACACTATCCTTGCCATGACATGGGATCGAATAAACGAGCTGACGAATTCAGAATGAACGCTTTAGCACTATGCTAAGTGCCTCTCTAAATGCCTCCGCTTATGTGAGGTGGGGAAACGAAAAAGAACCTTTTGGTTTTCTGGGCTGTGGAAATGGCTTTTTTCCACTTTCGCCCACCTTTGAATTTCAATTCTGAAAAACTAGCTTTGTCTGGTCATAATGTAATTAAACTTTGCACAGTGAACGCACTATTCATTGTGAATACATTTGTTCTTCATATCTTACATCGTAAAATCAAGCATGCAGCCATAATAATGCGTAAACTGAAAAAAAAAATTAAATTGTGGGGGAAAGCGAAAAAGAGCCGTGAAAGTTAAAAAGACTTACGTTGATTCTGGCAAGTTGTGTGGCCACATTCATCTGCAGAGACTGTTTGATAGGCTTATTCTCAGAGTGGACCATGGTCGTCATGGCTCTAGGGCTCAACAATTAGACACTCACTAGGGTCAAAAAGGTCAAAGGTCAGTCTTCGGAAGCTGGCCAAAATAATGTGCTGCTGTTAAATGACTGTTTTATTAATCTGCTCTGGTTATAACAAATATAAATGACAGCGACGGCTTTACTAAAAGCGCACGTTCAATTTTAACTAAAGATTTATTTATAAAAAAAAATAGTCAAGTCGCATGGTTGAATTTTTTTTGGTTAGTTCGGTAAAGAGTTTAAATGTGTGGGCTCAAAAAATAGTCACTTTTACCTTTTCGACAATTATAAGAATCAATTAGCTCTTTTCCGGTCCCCCTTTCCTTGAATTGGCTCTGAATCCACATGCCACTTTTTGTTATATTCGGTCAATGTGATCATCAAAAATACTGGTTAAAATTTGCAAAAAAAAGAGCCCATCATCTGCACAATTGTGGCTTGAAAATTCGGTGAAAGCTATAATTAACAACATTTTGAGAAAGTGATGACTCACACCAGGCGATAACTTGATACCAGGCGACAAAAAATAGACCTAAGAGTTGATGGGTCTGTGTCAGCTTTCAAATTGAGTGTTGGTTGCACTATTCCGGTCTCCTTTGCACTTTCTTTTCCCCTATTTCAATATCTTGAGAGTTTTTTCTGGAAAACGTTTTTTTTACACTACACTACATTCATAGTACTTTGTATTGACTACGGTTCTTTTTTCTTCCCCCTTCTGTAATTACTTTAAAGTAATAACTTTGTTCACCTAGTTCGAAATTTCATGAGAATCGGCACGGGGACTGATTAGGTTATGACAAGCATAATTGGTCTTCATAACTAACTTTATAAAACCAATCGTTACAGCATAAAATTGATGCTCGTTTGCAATGGAAGAAAGGAAAAAT